ACAAGGAAGGTTCCGGAGACTATGTTGCTATCTCCGATTTTGGCTTTGCTTATGGTAAGGATCCTTCCTTGAGTGGCCGGTGTCACGGCTTGGTGGGGTAAGGTGGCCCTGGCGGTTTTAGGCTCCCGGAGGGGGTTTGTGTGGTTCCCTTCAAACTTTCTTTTGTGTCCCAGGTGCGTTTTCTGGGATTTGTTGTAATTGGAATGCCTTGGCATAGGCTTCTTCGAGGTTTCTCGGTTCTCATATAGTTAGGGCCTTCTGGTTTTCGGGATTGAGGCCCTTTATGAATTTCTTGACTTTGATTGTCTCTGTAGGTACTAGCTCGGGAGTGAGGCGAGCTAGCTTAAGGAACTGCCGGTTGTATTCTGTGATTGGGGTTGCTCCCTGTTTTAGGTGGAGGAATTCCTCGTATATGGTTGCTTTCAGGTGACTGGGGTAGAATTTTTCTCGTAGTCGCGTTTTTAGGGCTTCCCAGTGGGGCTTTGTTCGCAATTGGGTTTCTCGTGGACCCACCAGGTGTCGGCCCCGTGCCTGAAGTAGAAGGAGGCCGCCTCTACTTGGTGATTTTCTGGGCATTCCGTTACCCTGAATATTTTGTCGAAGGTTCTGATCCATTCTTCGAGGATCGTGGGATTTTCTTCCCCGGAGAAGGTGGGTGGTTGGTGTTCCGAGACTTGGCGGTGGATTTCCAAGTTTCTGTTTGGTGGTGGTGGTTGGAGACTGCATTGTTAATGCCTGGGCAATATGGGCCAGGCGTTGTAGATTTTGAGTCAAGAATTCCTGTATGGGAAGTTTCGGTGCCTTTGTCTGCTTCCTCTTTGATGTCATCCTGGGGTTCATAGGTTGATATTATTTTGCATCCTTACCTTAATGCTATGGATGTAGAGGAAGTTTCATTTAAATTATGTGTTAGTTAGTGTGAAGGAAGTGTAAGGTCTCACGATCTCACCACGCGTCCTATGATTCCCTAAATCCTATCTTACCAAACTTTTAATGTTTTAAGCCTATTGTCCTAAGGTCTCGGTCTTAAGAGTCTTATCCTAGGGTCAAACTTAGGCTCTGATACCAACTCTAAAGGTAAATTCTCATTAAAACCCAAAACATAATATAATAGAGTACGGGGTGCTATGCCACACCTGAGCTAGAGAACTCAGGTGCATAGGCTAACTAACTAATATCCTCAATAATGTAAATACATGCGCATGGCACGCAGGCCGAAAAGAGAAACTATATACTCTACGCTCCAATTCTCTAGCACGCACCAGTGTCTACTCCTCTGTGCCTGAAATCCAAATATATCTGTTCAGCGAGAGATGCTGGAAACCCACTCCAACGCGTTGAAATATAGTATATATATATATATATATATACGAAAATCATTTCGAAGCAGGAAGATATATACTTAAGAGACACTAGTTTTAAAACCAGGAATAGACTCAGCAAATCGGGATAAGCACATCAGACAACAATAAGCAGTTAAGTAGAAATAACATCATAAGAAATACGCATTTACGGTCACAAGCTACTTCTCAATTCCAAACCACATCATCAACCAATCATCATCCATATCACATAATCATTGATGGCGCCACGGGACCAATCGCATGCCCCGAACACGAGGGTTAATGCTTATAGCATTAACACGGCCCCGCAGCACCCTACCTCGGTACCGCAGTACGAGAGGAGTTGATCGCAATCAACCCTTTGAGAATCGTTGACGAAGTCAACGTCGGACCACGATCTGACACACCGCTGACGCGCCCAGTCGGTGGACCGCGATCCCCTTTACAAGGAGGGACTTACGACCCTACACACCGTTGATGCGCACAATCGGTGGACCGTAGCGGATCAAGCCCGACACACCACTGAGCTAAACTCAGTCGGTGGCCAAAGATCCTCGGAGACTACGGTCCTACGTACCGATGTCCCAACACTCGGTGGATCGCAGCCAGCCGTAGCCCAACACACCGCCTGATTACTCAGGTCGGTGGACTACAGACTTCCTCGGCTTGTTGGCCCTACACACCGCCTGGCGCGTCCAGGTCGGTGGGTCATATCACCGAGGCCCATGTGGACCTTCAGTCCTATGCATAATCTTTATATACCTGACTGGTCTCTACCAGCCTGGTTAACAGTTGGGATGGTTCTCAGCCCATTCAACTGCCCGTATAGTGGACCTCAGTCCTATATCATATTAATATCCCTGACCGATCTTAATCGACTTGGTTAACAGTTGGGAAGGTTCTCAACCCATTCAACTGCCCGTATAGCCCAATTGATCTTAACCAAGTTGGGGTCATGCATCACGTAACACATAATAGCACATAATAACACATAACTCACATAGGGAAGGGGGAGACATATAATTAAGCTTACATGTGATCATTCACATACTAAGAATAATTCCTAAGGGTTCATATAACTTCCACCTAGGTCCACGCGTTACCAATTCAACTAGCATGCAATTCCTAAGACTCGTTTAACCTACGAATGGTACCTGAAATTCCAAACTAGACTCAGGCACAACAAACGAGGTCCGTCGGGACACCATGGGGAACGGGGAACTTCAAACGGGGAAGCCGGGGACCCGGGTGGGGTATGGACCAGCGGGTAGCCGGTGGGTGGGGGTTACCCGCCGGTGGGCACTGTTCCGGGTAGCGGGTAGCCGGCTGCCCGGTGGCTGCCCGCTGCCGGGCAGTGCCCTTTGGGCAGCGGGTAGGTGGTGGGTTCCCCCACCCCCACCTACCCCCCACTGACTCATTCATCAATAAATTCGTCCCGGGATCCTTTGTGGAACCCGAAACCATGCTTAGACACTTTTAAACGCAATTGATGACACCACATAGACAATTAACGGATCAAAAGCAAGAATCATATAACACATATCCTATCATAACTTTTAAACATAATCATCATCCGAACATGCGAAATCCCACCCAATTATATCTAGAATAACACAATACGAAATTCCCAATTTTAACCTAGGGCTCTAATCATATTCAAATCAATAAAATCATAGTTCATCTTTTAATTACCAAGACATCAAGATTCATCAAGAATATCACATAATCATCAAGAATCTCTTATCATCATCAAGATCATCAAGATCACACATAAAATCTTCTCACAATTATCAAGAACATATCATCAATATCATAAACGATTCATCAAGACACAAGTATAGAGAGGTGGCCAAAGAAGATAATTATAGCAAGGAAAATAGGTTTTGTTGAGACATGGGTTACCTCTTAGCCTTAATTAATTTCCTTGGCTATGAAGGGTCTTTCTTTAAGACTTCTCCTTTCTTGATTTCTCCTAAGGGAGTTCTTGGAACTTTCTTGTGTGGTGAGGGACTATTTGTGGTGTGAATTCAAGGTGCCTCCTATGCCCCTATTTATATAATTGGCTACTTCTATTTCCTATGGGACTAAGGGTTGGATTTAGGGATAAGGGTCCATGGGCTTATGGTGGGCCTTTCCTAGTTAATGAGATTTTAATCTTTCTTTCTGGTTAATTATTAAATTGGTTTATGGGCCGTAACGCGGGGTGTTACAGCATGTGCGCTAGATATCAATCAGCTTCCAAAGAATCGCATTTGATAGCTTCTAAATGAATTTTGAAATACGTCATGGGTACAATTCAGTATGGAATATGATATTCCAAGGACAGTGAACTGAGTCTGATTGCATACTGTGATGCAGATTGGGTAGGAAACATTGATGACAGGAAAAACACATCTGGTGGATGATCAGAAGAAGGTTTTTGAATTTCTCTGCCTCGGGTCAAATTTCAAAATTTGATTTCCTTAATTAACCCTCTTTTCTTTTGTTAAGTACTATCTTACCATATTATACCTACACTAATTGTTTTTTTAAAATTTCAAATATTCCATTTAATCCCTAAAAAGAAGCCATACTGTAGCGTCAATCACATCATAGCTGCATGCACCTTGTCAGCCGCATTGATTATCATCCCTCGCCCTTGGGATTACATCTCCCTTGTGATCACTCTTAGTGGCAAAAGAAATCCCAATCCAACTCTGCACTCTGCATCAAAAATCTCCCAATCTTCTCTGCCTAGGGTTTGTCTCACCCTCTCTCATAAATCTAGCAGACATGCCTGATGCGGTGAGAAACATAATAATCAAGTTGGGAAGGAAGAATCACTCACCAGAGAGTGCTCTAAAGCATGTGAATACGTTTCTCCAGCTAGCGATGAAGAAGAAACTGAAGTTGGACCCTGTTCTTCGAGATGAAATACTTGTCACGGTGATATCTGACTATCTAGAGTTCTATGAACACTGGTCAGATGAAAATACAAGCAATTTGTTGGTGATGGCCTCTGAGGCAGATGATGACATCAGTCCAGCCACCATTGATGTACTAGAGGATGGAAATCGAGCAGGGGCATTTCTCAAATACTTTGCACAAAGGGCTTTGGAGTGGGAAGAAATTTCTCGACGACGGGCCGATGCTCATCATCGATATCTTCAAGCAGCCCAGGAGGAAGTACAACGACGAAGATAAATTCTTCAAAACAGGTCAAACACTTCTGATACTCCTATTGAAATCTCTCGTGATAAGCCTACTGAGTCTTTATCTATTGCTGTTGAGTCTGGCCAACCTACTGTTGTGTCTGATATTAATCTGGGATCTCTAGAGTCAGTATTGCCTGCTCCGTCGAATATATCTGATGTTACACCTCGTTTGTCTACTCTTGAGATGTCTGATGATGAAAAACTTGTTGATGTGCCTGCGTCTAATAAACTTACCCCTTCATCTGCTAACCTTGATGATTCAGTACATGTTGTGTTATCTTTTGATACTGGTTTACCCATCACTCCTGATGATCCTGAGTCCACTGTTCCAGTCAATCATTCTGCTGACATTGGTTTGGTTAATCTTTCTCTCAATGAGCATGTTGTTCCCACATCTGAACAGTGAGAGAATACCCATTCATCTGATCCAAATGTTGCCATTCATGTCTATACATTAGCTAGTATGGCTGAGAGTCTAGAACATGTTCGCCACTTTGCGGGTTTACCTTCTGAATCAGCACCTAAGCCCTACAAAGTGATTCGACCAAGGCATGTTCCTGCTATTCCAACAAACAGTGATGATTAGAAGATTCTGGCTGAAGTATATGGTTCCAAGGTCCCTGTAACACCCCAAAATTTTGAGATATTTAAAACTTATAAAATAAAGGCAAATCCATTGATTAAATCCCAAACAGGGCATACAGCTATCCGTAAGTGTCGGGGTGCTATGTCACACCTAGGTTTGAGAACCTAGGTGCATAGGATAAACTAACCAAGCATAAGAAATCCTCAAATTGATATTCCATACAATCCCAAGGCACGCAGGCCAACTACTGAGCTAAGACTAACTAAGCTAAGTCCAAGGTTCTGACTAGCGCACATCGAAGTAATGCTCATCACCTGAAAAATATTCGGTATAACAACCATCAGCAAAAAATGCTGGTAACCCACTCCAACGCGTTAAGTACAATATTGGTAGATATAAGAATCTCATTTTGAAACTGGAATACATATTGACGAGACTCTAGTTAAAATCCAAGATCAAGACTCAAACATATTAACAGACTCAATATCATAGAATAATCATAAGAACTAATAGGCATCCTAAACATGCAATCCAAGACATAACGGGCAGATAGGCATGCAAATGACAAGTAGAGGCAACTAAGGCATTCAATACAATCAATTAGCAAGTAGTCAACAAAGCACATAATTCATCCTCCAACCTTATACCAAGTTCCAACCTTGTAGCTCCCCTCCGTCCTTATATCAGTTCCAACCTATACCTCCAGGCCACCCTTATATCCCCACCCCGTATTCCTCCTGGCAACTACATGCCCCCACCAACAAACCACCTTTCAACCACCAACATATCAATATGGTGCCGCAGTGCCATTCAATGATCCGCACCTCTAGTGCCAATATCAATGGGTTATCGCATATAGCTCTAACATGACACTGCAACACTTATAACCTGACCCATGCCTAAAGCAAGCAAGTCGAAGGTGGGTGTGTGCCTTTAGCATAGTCACCGCTATGGCCTGTACCTTTAGTACAATGACCGGGCACAAGTGGTGCAAACCGCCAACAGTTTATTTTCCACCAATCACAATCTCATCATCATCATCATCAGTCACACTGGCCATTGCGCAATGACCACGATACTCATCATCATTCAATCAACTAACACAATCACATAACAATCAAGAAACAACAAAAACGACACGTATTACACATAAAATCCTAAAACGATGCCTAAAACACCAAACGAGACTCATACACGACAAACGGGGTACAACGGGACACGGGGAAACATCAAACGGGGGAAAACATCACGAACCTCGACCGATTTCCAGCGGGTAGGTGGCGGGTGGACCACCCGCCAGCCACCCGCCGGCGGCCGTGTACTATTCCAACGGGTGGCCCGCGGGCAGACCACCGCCCGCTGGAATAGTAAACGTGAGCAGCGGGTAGGTGGCGGGTGGTCAGTCCCACCTACCCCCACTGATACATAAGCAACTTTTGGTTCCGGGATATCTCGTGGAACCCAAAATCATGTCTAAACACATTCAAACACATAACGGCAACACCACGTATTCAATTATCGGAATTAAACCAAGAATCACACCAAATACATCCTAACAAGATTCCTAAACGTGCCAAGACTCAACATAAACCAGATAACGATCCAGGGACATCCAGAATCACAAGAACATTAACAAATCTATATGAAAATTCCTAAACACAAGTCCTAGGCTAGACTCAACACTTGATCATGCGAAATCCCACCCAAATATACCAAGAACATCATAATACGAAATCCACATTATAACCCTAGGGCTCTAGACATAATCAAAATACAAGATCATTCATATAATTTATCATAGTATCAAGAACAACAAGATTATCACATAAGCATCAAGATAAACACATAAACGTCAAGATTATCACATAAACACAATATAAGCCCTAGGCAACGCTCTATCAAGACTCAAACACAGAATCATATATCAAAGGAGCCAATGAATAAGATATAGCGAGGAAAATTGGTTTTGTCGAGACATGGGTTACCTCTTAGCCCTAATCAATATCCTTGGCTACTAAGGTTCTTCTCTAAGATCTTCTTCCCGTGGATTTCCCTACGTTTGGTGGCAAGGGGATTTCTCTGGGAATATCTTGTATGGTAGAATTTACTGTGGTAGGTTTCTAGATGCTTCCTATGTCCCTATTTATAGATTTAGGAGTCCCAACTGGGGTCTGAATAGTAAGGGTCCACTTATCATATTCCTTATATAGGACTAAGCATTTGGTTTAAGGATAAGGGTCCATGGTCCATTGTGGACCTTACTAAATAATTGAAGGAAATCCTAACCAATTTCAAACCCTTTTTAGTTATTATTAATGGGATTGGTTAAATGATTAGTCCGGGATTTGAAGGCTGTAACACGGGGTGTTACAGTCCCCCCGGCTGATCATAATGAGTCTCTATTAGTGGCAGAGACAGCTCACCCAGATTCCACAACCTTCAAAATTAGAGAAGTTACCAAGCTTCTGGCCTCATGCACTGTACATGGGTCTGAGACCGGCAATTATGTGTCACCAAGTCCCACAAAGAGCTCACCAGTAAGAGAAACTCGGAAGTCCAAGACAAAGGGGGTTCCAGAGAAAGTTACTGTAGGTACTAGTGATGAGCCTACAGAGTCTACTCAGCCAGAGAAGAAAAGAAGATCGGTTGAATCTGAGAAAGCTGAAAGTGATCCACCTATCAGAAAAGTATTCAAGAACCTGCGATTGTCTGTTAAAGGTAAAGCTCCTGCAGTTGTTCCATCAACAAAAGGCAGGAAAATAAAAGTTGTTACAAAGCCAAGAGGTAGAAGTGTTACCCCTGATGTACAAAATGCTCCTTTTGAACCTCCGGGGAGTCCTGATACTTCTGTCTACAAGCCACGGTTTGTCTCTGATGTTGCTCAAGACAAATGGCATACGATGGTGAAACGAGAGTTGATTGTACAGAGATCGGTTGATGAGAATTAGCTGAACTCAGTGTGTGATGTATTGCCCCTTCTGCGTGAGGCTGGTTTGCTGAAGACAGTCACATCTGTATGTGCCTATTCCAAGTTGCTCACATATGAGTTTTACTGCAACCTGAACGAAGAAATTGATGATCTGACGAGCAAGAGGTGTACACAAATCTTCATTCGAGGTAATTGGTATGTGTTTGGTCCTGATGTGATCAACCAGTATTATGGTTTGAAAACTGTTGATAAAGATGAGATTACTGACTGGGATCCAGTTGCTAAGACCCTCACTGGAAGAGTGGCATCTGAATGGCCAACAGGTGATAATGATGCTTTGTCCAGTTCTGAATTCACCTCCAAGATTGTTATCCTCCACTAGATTGCTTTGCACAACTGGCTGCCATCTACGCATTTCCATACAGTCAGTAAGCCTCTAGCTGCACTCCTATTTCGAGTTGGCACCAAGATGACCGTTGATATAGGGAAATGGATCTTCTCTCATTTCCCCACCTTGATTCATCCCAAAGAACAAAAGGTTAAGCTCCCTTATCCCAATCTTATTTTTGGTGTGCTAACATCCCAGGTCTGATTTCGATACCTAGTGAGATCATTACTCCTTCTCTACTATATACTGTGGATCCGCATCTACTGATTAGCAAACACATCAAGGATGTTACGCCCGTTGATGCTCCGAACACTTCTGAGGCTGATACTGTTGACGGCACCCCCTACGGTCGAGATTTGCAGCTGTCCTTGCGATTGAAGGCTCGTGTGTCTGAGCTGCAGACTGTGAGTAACATTATTCAAATCAGCTCAACGTGGCTCGCACAGAGCTGGCGACTGACTTACTCCGAATGAGCCTTTCTGAGTCTGCTGCTGGTGAAGCTTTAAAGTCTGACAGTGGAGGTCCCTCTAATGCTTAGCAAATCCTTTGTCTATCATTTGCAAAAAGGGGGAGTACTATACTCATGGGAAGTATTTGTGATGGTTGTTTGTGGTGGTTGGAGTACCTTTTGGTCCTGTCTGGGCGTTTTTGTGAAGAAATGGTCTTATCTATGTCTTTATCCAACACAGGTTGTGTGCTGATGTTTTTATGGGTTGTAATCAAACAATATTTCTTTTTGCTATAATTGTTACCAGTACTGGCCCTTTAATTATGCTCTTGCTTCTCTATCTTTAGCTGAGATATTTCATCTTTAGTTGAGTTGTTTTGCCAAATAATAGCCAAAGGGGGAGTTTGTTAGTGTTTTATTTCTTTAAGAAAAACCCCAACATAAAATTAGCAATATTATTATGGCAAATTAACACCCCTAATTTTCACCCCTAGGTTTATGTAACACCCCTAATTTTCAAAACTTTTTAAAGCTTATGGAATAAAGGAAAATCTATTATTAATTCCCAAATAGAGTATAAACTAAATATGATAGTCGGGGTGCTATGCCACACCTGAGCTAGAGAACTCAGATGCACAGGCTAAACTAACTAACAAAGCGTAATTAATACCCAAATATAAATCAAGGCACGCAGGCCATCTCATCCAAGCTAGAACTATCTAAACTAAGTCCACGAATCCAACTAGCGCGCTCCGAAGCTACTCAACTGTCCCTGAAAAACATTCGGTGTAACAACCGTCAACGAATAATGCTGGTAACCCACTCCAACGCGTTAAGTACAATATAGGTAGATACAAGAAACTCATTTTGAAACTGGAATACATATATACTTACGAGACTCTAGTTTAAATCCAATAACAAGACTCAAGACATATTAACAGACTCAATATGTAGAATAATCATAAGAACTAACAGACATCCTAAACATGCAATGCAAGACATAACATGTAGATAAGCATGCAAATAGCAAGTAGAGGCAACTAAGGCATTCAATACAATCAATTAGCAAGTAGTCAACAAAGCACACAATTCATCCTCCAACCTTATACCAAGTTCCAAACTTGTAGCTCCCCTCCGTCCTTATATCAGTTCCAACCTATACCTCTAGGCCACCCTTATATCCCCACCCCTTATGCCTCCGGGAAACTACATGCCCCCACCGATAAACCGCCTATCAACCACCAACATATCAAGATGGTGCCTCAGTGCCATTCAATGATCCGCACCTCTAGTGCCAATATCAAGGGCTTAGCGCGTATAGCTCTAACATGACACCGCAGCATTTATAACCTGACCCATGCTCAACGGCAAGCTAGTTGATGAGGACAACCAAAGGCTCAAAGATCAACATACAAATAAGAGAAGTCACAATTACAAGTTCAAAAGCTAAGAAATTGTGATGGGTTGTAAATGGATTAATCCATGCAATTTGCCAAAAATAAGTGAGGAATTAATCTAAATGGTCCAAATTTTCGTGGCTGCATTGGGAGAATTCAAATGAAGCTAAACTCAATCCATTAAGGCAAATAAATTCTCATTTAGTATAGTTTTAATATTATTCATGTGCTATATTTATTTTATTTTAGGTTACATGTCTAGGATGAATGAATATCATTCATTGCCTTGTAATGGAGTCTTTTGATCTCCTTGAGAGTTATGTATTAGCCTATTTAAAGGCTAAGCACAATCAAAATTTTAAAGATAGATGAATGAAGTTGAATGAAAGAAATGCTAAGGCATTTTGTTTTCTCTCATGTGATTTAGGAGATGTTCTTTTAGGCTTATCAAGATAATACCAATCTTGTGGTGCCATCCATTCCTTATCACCTAAGACCAAGGTGTGGCGGAAATATCTTTATAGAAAAACACAAAAATAATCTCAAATCCAGCCCTTACATCAACCAATTCCATCTCCAACACCCTTAAACCGTAATTGTTGTTCCTGCTGTTTTGGTGAGGAAAAGATCGGGAAACCAGAGGACTCTTTGGTGAATCGACTCTCGAGTTCACCCCCAAAGATCCACATCACTAGTCGAAGGTTGGTGGGCCTTTAGCACAGTCACCGCTATGGCCTGTACCTTTAGTACAATGACCGGGCACAAGTGGTGCCAACCGCCAACAGTTTATTTTCCACCAATCACAATTTCATCAACATCATCATTATCATTAGTCACACTGGCCATTGCGTAATGACCAAAATACTCATCATCATGCAATCAATCAACACATAATCACATAACAAGCAAGACACAACAACAATGACACGTTTCACGCATAAAATCCTAGAACGATGCTTAAAACAACAAACGAGACTCATACACGACAAACGATACACAACGGGACACGGGGAAACATCAAACGGGGAAAAACACCACGAACCACGCTGGGATTCCCGTGGGTAGGTGGCGGGTAGAGAACTACCTACCAGCCACACGCCCGTGGGTAGGTGGCGGCCGGGCACTATTCCAGTGGGTGGCCGGCGGGCAGACCATCGCCCGTCGGCTGCCCGCTGGAACGGTGTTACGGGCAGCGGGTAGGTGGCGGGTGGTCAGTCCTCCCACCTACCCCTCACTAATACACAGGCAACTTTTGGTCCCGAGAACCCTCGTGAAACCCAAAACCATGTCCAAACACATTCAAACACATAACGACAACAGCACGTGTTCAATTAACGGAATTAAACCAAGAATACACCAAATACATCCTAACATGATTCCTAAACATGCCAAGACTTAACATAAACCATATAACGATCCAGGGACATCCGGAATCACAAGAACATCAAGAAATCTATATGCAAAGTCCTAAACACAAGTCCTAGGATAGACCCAACACCCGATCATGCGAAATCCCACCCCAAATACACCAAGAACATCATAATACGAAATCCATGTTATAACCCTAGGGCTCTAGACATAATCAAAATACAAGATTGTTCATATAATTAATCATAGTTTCAAGAACATCAAGATGATCACATAAACATCAAGATTATCACATAAACACAATATAAACCCTAGGCAAAGCTCTATCAAGACTCAAGCACAGAATCATATATCAAAGGAACCAATGAATAAGATATATCAAGGAAAATAGGTTTTGTCGAGACATGGGTTACCTCTTAGCCTTAAGTAATCCTCCCTTGGCTATTAAGGTTCTTCTCTAAGATTTCCATCCGATTGATCTCCCTAAGCTTGGTGGTGGAGAATCTCCTGGGAATAATTTCGTGTAATATAACTATTGGTGGTAAGGGTTCTAATTGCTTTCTAATCCCTATTTATAGAGTTAGGAATCCTAATCAGAATCTGAATAGTAAAGGGATACTTTCTATTCCTAACAGGTATGTAAGTCTTGGATTCCTAACTAGAATCTAACTAGTAAAAGGTTTTACACTCTTTATTCCTAATAGGCTTAAGACTCTAGTTTAGGCAAGGGTCCACAACCTGTGGTGGACCACATTTAATTAATTAAAGGGAATCCTAACCAAATTAAATCCAATTTAGTTATTATTAACGGAATTAATTAAATAATTAATCTGGGATCAAAGGCCGTAACACGGGGTGTTACACCCTCCCACCCCCCCCCCCCTGCGCCCTTGCAAGAAGCTTCGTCCCCGAAGCTTAGAAATCATTACGGGGATAACGAGTCAAGCTAGTACGGTGGTCATAAAGAGAAAGTATTCTACGGGGGAAAATATATAATTATATATCAATGTATACTGGGTTTTTGGGGAATGATTGGGTTAAAAGGGTAAAGAGAGTGGACGATTCAGGTGTCAAACTTGAGGACAAAGTGAATTTAGAAAATAGGATCAAAGTTTTCAAAGTTGCAACTTAGGAAATAAGGTTGCCACCTTGTATGGTATCATTTGAAATAAGGAATCAAGAAAGAGGTTTGGAATGGTATAATGGATTTCTCAACGAAACGGTATTCGATAGACAAGGAAAGGAAAGGAGTTTGGCTAGGATAGGGTTAAGGATTCTCGACTTCGAGCAATTATTCCCGTTTGAGACTTGATTATGACGTAAGGACGAACTGAAGATCCTTTTTCTTTAGTTTTGGCTCTGCTTGATTCTAAGATTTCCGTTGATATTTTCTTCCCAAGCTAACGTCTCATCCATCCTTACCGATTTTGAAAGAATTCTCATGATGAATCCCGTGCATACTCTCCCAAAATGCCCAAAAGTCTTGACCCAGTCGGTTAGCAAAGTTAATCCTTAGGTCTCAACTCCTGATTCTTGTTGGGGTTTCTTAAGGATCAAGGGACTTTGGGTTGGTTTCCTCGTTTTATTGAATTTCATCTCTTCCTTGGTAGTTGAGATCCTTAGCACGACTTCATGTCCTTCGCAAAATTTAGCTTGTTGCGCCCTTTTGGTGATGCTTCTAGTAGCAAAAGCTCTTAGCATGCTTCCTTCCCTCTTGGAATGCAGTCGGTTATTGATTCTTGTTGCGAAATGACTTGGCGGTCCTTACGAGTTGTTATTTACATAAATACTAACGTTTAGCACATACAGAATATTTCACTGGATTTCATAGACGAATACTTTATGCCTAATTCGTACGCCATGAATACGCGAGGTGTTATACGGGATTGTTCATAGCACACTAAGTATACCAGTATTGGCATGTATATGCAGATCGCTTGCAATTAGTAATATTGTATATATGTATAGTGGGATGCCTTATAACATACAGTTTTGTCTAACATGCTTTATATATACATGAATATGTGTAAGTATGTATTTCACACAATCATGCGAACTATCTGATTTGACACACAATGTATACATCATGAAAATATAAATCTCCACCTACAATTTGAGCATGCAATTCGCATACAGATATTCTTTAATAATTACAAGTAAAATAACCTAGGTTCCTAAATACCAAAAGATTTATCTTTGAGAAATCTTGACAGAATTTGATCACAGAAGCACTTAGGAAGATCAGTTTTATCTCGGGATAAATAAATTTTAGGTAGGCATAAATCTTACCTCTAGAAGCCCAGAATACCTAAACAACTTAGAATT